CTGTAGCAACCAGAAACGATGCCAAGTGCAGGAATTCAAGAACGAGGTCGACTGTAGTAACCGAAGAACGAGGCCAAGTGGAGTAATTCGAAAACGAAGCCAACTGTAGTAACCAAAAACGAGGCCAAGTGTAGAAACGAAAATCCGCATCGACTGCAGTAGTGAGTCTATGATCTCTGGGCGCGCAGCGTCTGGCCACGACGCGGGCTTGCCCGGGGCCATTCCGTCGCCCTCCCCCCTTTCCCCCCCCCTCATCCCCAATGTTCTCCCTCGTCGTCGTCGTCGGCGTCGATATCGTCGTCGTCGTCGTCGGTCTCGTCCTCTTCCTCCTCTTCGTCCTTTTCTTCCTCCTCATCCTCCTTTTCCTTCTTCCTCGGGGGGGTAAGAGGAGGAGGCGGAAGAGCAGGAGGAAGAGAAGGGACAGTTTTTTGTTGTTGCAAGGATCGCGCGCATTGCCAGTAGCCTTCGTTGGACAAGGTCGACATCTCCACGCGCCTGGCAGTTGACACGCGCCACCTGTTCTCGTTCGGTGACCGCAAAAAGGGTTACCCTTGGGTATCTCGCACACAAAATGTCCTTTCAATTTTTCCGAAAAGTGTTAAGAATTATTGGGCTTCAAAAACATTTAGGTCACCGCTACGGGTTCGCTGCAAGTTTCCAGGCCAACATGGCGGTTTTCCCATTGTGAGCATTACAGAGCTCGCCGCGCGCGCGGCGGGTTACCCATCCACCGCGCGGGTCACGCGAAATCCGGTCGGTCACAGTAAAGAGTTGCTTTGCGTTCCCAAGCAAACAGGGCGATGTTTCCGCTGTGGACAACACAGAACTCTTCACGCTCGCGGGTGGGCAGTTCTGACACCAGAAATCATGTCAACTTCAACATCAAATCCGTCACCGCGCGCGCACGCGCGGCGGGTGGCCCACCCACCGCGCGGGCCACTCGAAATCCAGTCGGTCGCCGCTAAGTGTTCACTTTAGTTTCCACGGCGACATGGCGATTTCCCTACCGTGGACATTATGGAAGTCGCCGCGCGCACACGCGGCGGGTGACCCGCCCGCCGCGCGGGGCACCCGAAATCCTGTCGTTCACCGCTAAGGGGTCCCTCCGGTTTCCAAGCCAGCATGGCGACTCTTGCCGTGGACGTTGCAGAACTCTTCGCGCGCACGTGCGAAAGGGGATTATTGTATGGATCATGCATGAAATCGTATACCACAACCTAGGTTCACTTCTTCATCAATTCCGTCACCGCTACAAATTCACTTTAGTTCCCAGGCCAGCATGGCGACTTTCGGATTGTGGACAATACAGAAGTCGCCACGAGTTCGCGCGCGCGCGGCGGGTGACCCGCCCACCGCGCGGGTCACTCGACAGATCGTCGACCACCGCTAAGCGTTTACATTAGGTCCCACACCGACATGGCGGCTATGCGATTGTGCACACTGCAGAACTCCGCGCGCGCGGGGGGCCCTGCAGTTTTCATCGTAGGGTACTTACGCCCAAACCAATGTTAGCTTGGAGATCCAATCGGTCAGCGTTCAGCACTTGACAGCTGCCGTAAGCCTTGACATGCCTCGACGCTGCTTAAGGCCCGCCCAGGGGTGTCAATACTTATCGAGGCTGGAAAGGGGCTACCAGACCTTGCGGAGGGTTGGCATGTGCTGTCAACGAGAAAAGCCGAAACAAGTTATAGACAACCGAGACAACGAACCATGAAACACATAACTCAAGACATCGCAGAGAAACATAAAAACAGACGTAATAAACAATTCGTGACTCACGGGGGTCTGGGTCTGCTGGATTGGCGGCGGGTGTGCCGTCGGCGAGCGGGCGTTGACGAAAAAAGGCGCTGCCGATGTGCTCGCCGCTCCCCGTCAAGGAGATGCTCGCTGGAATGCCAGCAGCCAGTTGGCCGTCGACCGTTCGCTTGCAGCCCGACAGATGGGCAGCCGTTTTTGAGCATGCCGCTTATTGCATGCAGCCGAGTCCCCAACATGCAACTGTGGTGTTTTTTTGGTCCGGCCGCGGGGAACAGGGGCGGGCGCGCCCGGCGCGAAGTTGGCCCAAGTGAAGTAACGTTCTTGTTGAAAAAGGAGTAGAGCCGTGAAAACCTCCCAACAAGTGTGAAGAAGTGAGGGTCCGTCAGAATGTGGGAATGCGTTTGTATTTATGTGGGCCACTTCCTTTGGGCGGGTCACGAGAAGATGGCGATGGTGATGGGCGCGCTGGTCAAAGTGTTCGGCTTCGGGAAGGAGGTTCGACGATGTCGTGTTCTGCGGCCGAAGGTCCAGACGCCAACCTGGAGGAGCCATCGACGTCGACATGATGGAGTACGCAATGGGGTTGGAGCCCGTGGCCGTGCCCAGGTCCCGGAGAGCAGACGCACTCTTGCCCATGAGCGCGCTTGAGTGGAAGCAGTGCCAGCAGGTGGTCGGCAAGCTCGTGGCGAAGCCGCGGGTGGACCGCTCGCGCGACCTGGCGGCAGCGCGAGATGGGCAGGAAGGAGGGCTCTAGGGTTTCAGCTCTAATCAAATCGCAAAAGGTTCCCGGAAGCTGCAGCGCGACTCGTTCTTCAAGATCACGATGTGCCCGGTTGACCTGAAGAGCTTCGGGCTCGTGGTCGTCTCGGGCAGCTCGTTGGGCCGCGCGATGAAGGGCGGCGCCGCGGTCCAGTTGCACCCGGCCACGGAGGAGATCGGCGCGCAAGGCGGCTGCCTGGTCCTGTTCGCGGACCGAGTGCTCGTGGGCGGCTCAGCTGGCAGTTTGTCCCTTCTCGAGGGCGAGGGCCGCGAGCTGAAGCGCGCGGCCAGAAGTTCATGCGCGGCGGAGGCGGTCTCCGTCGGAGACGCGGTGGACGTGGCACAAGGCGCGAGAAATTAGATCACCGAGATGGTGCGCGGCCTAGTGGCGAGAGGCGCTGGGATGAAGCTCTCGGGCTGGCAGATTCCGATGACGGTGGTGGCGGGTTCTAAGGGCGGACGCGGCAGGCTCAACTCAGATCCCGGTGTTGGAACGTCCGCCCAGATGTCAGTGAGCCTGGAGCTGGCGAGCAGCAGGGGGGCCCTAGACCGACCGCAGACGATGGTGCGCTGGACGGACGGGGCGATCATTCCGAGCGATGAACTGACGAAGGATATGCCCTGGAGCGTGGGACTTGGAGTATTGAGTTTTGAGCACAGATGGTGAAGACAGCCAGGCGCGTGGCCCGCGAGCGCTGGGGGGCGCGGGTGCGTGGGCTGAGCAACGGTGGCAAGTTTACGCCTAGAGCCTTTCAGTCTTGATGTATGTTGGATTTCTCTTCTTCTCATCCCCCTCACTCGTCGCGCGCTGTGCCGAAGCTTGTGTATGTTCGTGCCCCTCCTTTCGGAATGCGAATGTCCGCCTGGGCTGCGAAACTTGCTGCGACATGGTTTTTGCATATGCAGACTTTGATTCAAGAAACATTTCAGACGCAGAGAGTCCGGACAGCGTTGGTTGCGCGGGCCGCCCGAGGCAGACTCAGATTTCACACTCGCGGGTCGCGACCGCTAGAATTCTTTTTATGTATGGGGGCTGCTTCTGCTGAGGTCGAAGCGGGGACAAATCCACGCATATGAAAAATCCGTGTCGTAAGAATGCGGCTTGGGTTTCTTCCCTGCTCCCCCGCTATATATTGTTATTCCTTTTTTCCCCCTTGGTTTTTCTCCTTCTACTCCTCTCGCTTGTTTAATGCTACCGGTTTCGCTCGAGCCGGCTTCGGATACTGTGGCTTCGGCGTGGAAGAACATGGCGCCTTCCTCTCGACCCCTGGCCGGGTCCGCCGCCAGCCTCTGCTGCGGAGCTTGGTAAGTCGGGCCCTGGAGGCTCCTCGGTTCCGCAAATAGTCCTTCCCCCCGAAAGAAACCAGACAGCTGAGGATCTCCGACAGACCCTGGGCCAGGTTCCACGGAGGCGGGTTGACGATGCCAGTTATGGGTTCGGGCCCTCTCCCGAGTCTGGTGGCCTCCGCCCCGCCTGATACAAGTTGCCCGTCGAGTCTGGCCGCCCTTGCCGTGGCCACCCTTTTCCCACGCCCCTTCTTGCCCTTATGATCTGCATGGTCCGGTCGTCCTCATCCCCAAACATCTTACCCCAAGCCCCAGGAGTTCTGAAACCTTGGGGTCGGGCCATTCGGGTTGGCACCACCGCGTCCCGACTGCCTGCACTTGGCACGATGCCTGTAGTTGTGGAACCCGCACGTGCTGCAGAACCACCCTGGCGACGTGGCGGTTGGCAGCACTGTGGTGTCGGCCTTGAGAGTGTCCACGACCTCGCGGGCGGCTCGCCGTGGGCCCGAAATTTGCATCGGCGTCGGGCGCCCCCTCGACTGCTCGTCGCACAGCGGTGTTAGCCTCGGTCCAGACGCCCGCGACCCAGGTTTCAATTTCCAAATTGTTTTGGACCCTCCACCCCCTTCCCCTCCTCCTTCTCCTGTTTTTTTGTTCTCCTCCTCCGCCTCCTCCGCCTCGTCCTCCTGTTGCTCCTCATTATTTTCTTTCTCCTCCGCCTTCTCCTCCTCCTCCTCCTTGCCTCCTCATCTACTCTCTTTCTCAGCCGCCTACTGCCCACCTTTTCCTTCTCCCCCTTGTCCCCCCTCTTCCTCCTCTTTCTTCTCGTCGTCGTCGTCGTCGTTATCGTCGTCGGCGTGGTCGTCGTCGTCGTCGTCCTCCTTCTGCTCCTGCTCCTCCTCTTCCTCCTTTTCCTCCTCCTCTTCCTCCTCCTCCTCGTCCTCCGTCCCTCCTCCTCCTCCTCCGCCCCCTCCTCGTCCTCCTCGTGCTCCTTCTCCTCTTCCTCCTCCTCCTCCTCTTCCTCTTCCCCCTCCTACTCGTCCCTCTCTTCCTCCTCCTCCTACCCCCTCCTTCTCTTATTCGCCCTCCTCCCCTTTTTTCAACTATTCCCAAGCCCTCTTTCCTTCGCCTCCTTCTCGTCCTCGTCCTCCTCCTGCTCTTCCTCCAACTTCTCGCGCGCAGAGCCCTCGGTTGAG